CCAGACCCACTTTTGACTAACCCTTCCCCCATTCCCCTATTCAAGCAGCTGCCAAGTCCTCTAGATTTTATCTTCACAACATCGTCTCAAACTGTCCTGCTTTTCCACTGCTACCACCCTCAATACTTCCCCATTAAGAGATGCCTCAAAAGTAGAATGGGCTGCCTCTGGAAGTAACAGATTTCTCAGAAATCTTCAAGTAGAGGATAAAAGACCATTTGTCAAGGATACTGCACTGTGGATTCCTGTTTCATGGGCTAGGAATGGAAGCAAGGTAGACACTGAGTTGTGGATAAATACTCCTGGGCCAAGGTTCAAGGAAAGACTGAAAAATAATGGCCCAGAATCAAGGAATCAGTTGTACCTAGCCAATATCAGCATGCAGGGTAACAAGAGTGCTGAACTGAGGGGCCAGAAATACATAGCAACATCTAGATTAAAAGCTAGGCTCAGAACCAGTTTAGAGTAATGTAGTCTGAGCAACATGAAAACTTGATACCAGGATGCCAATTTCTCTCCCACACATTTCCCAGGACTCAATCCCTTTACTGGCATGTGTATTTTATCGCCAGCTTTGCTTTCTAGCTTCCTTTAAGTTGCAGCTGGAGAGTTCCTGTCCCCACCGCCAGCTTTACTCTCTAAGAAGACAGGCCCCTTTCATACCCCATTAGCCCTTTAGGTGGATGTTCTCCAAAGAGCCTTCTTCTCTTTTCTCTCTAGACCCTCTCCTCAGCAACCTCATTCACTCGCATGGCTGCAGCCTGTATGCAAATGTCTCCCAAACACCTCATCTCCCTCCCAACTCTAGACTTACATTTCCAGTTGTCTGTCTGTGGCATATCATCCTCATGCCCTCCAAGCAGCTCACAAACTGATTTTATTATCCTTCTCTAAAAACTGCTCCTCGATTTACTCATTTTCTTTTGTCAGTAGATGATAACAAACCAACTTCCCACATTCAAAACCTTGGACTTTTCGTTCCCTCTCCCCTCTGCTATCATCAGAGAATCAGAGATTCTTAGAGTCGGAAGGGAGTTCAAAACTAGCTAGCCTAATCCAAAAGTGAACAGGAATCTATTTCTACAACTTCCCTGAGAAATAGTTAACCCAGACTTTGCTTGAAGACTTCTAGTGAGGGGAAACCCACTACACCTGCCAGGGCAATTCTCTCTACTCTTGTAATACCACTTATCGTTAGGAAAGACTCATCCTTCCTGACTTCACATATGGCCTCAGATACTTACTAGCTATATGACCCTGGGCAAATAATTTAATCTTGTTTGCCTCACTTTCCTCATCTGTAAAATGAGCTGGAGAAGGAAATGGCAAACCACTCCAGTGTCTCTGCCCCCCCCCAAAAAAAAACTTCCAAGTGAGACACAACTGAACAACAAAACACTGTTAGGCATTTCTCCTTATGTTTAATTGAAATCTGTCCCTTTACAACTTCAATCCATTATGACCCCTACTTCTGCTCTCTAAAGCCAAATAAAATCAATTTAATCTCCCTTCCACATGACATGCCTTCAAATACTTGACAATAGCTATCATGTTCCTTTGAGTCTTTTCTAATGTAACAACACTCAGTTCCTTCAACTAATACTCAGCCGACATAGACTCAAAGCCTTTAAGCATTCTGGTTGTGCTCCTTTGGGCACCTTCTCAGTTACTTTCCTAATGCCCAGAACTGAATGCAATGCTTCAGAAGTGGTCTGACCAGGAAAAAATACAGTAAGAGAATAACCTCCCACCTTCTGGACACTATACCTCTCAATGTAACTTCAGGTTTTGTTATTTTAGCTGGCGTCACATTGTTATTATAAAGTTGACATTTTCAATCTATTTTGTAGTACTTTCCTTTGGTGCTATTTAATCTTATACCATTCAGCCCAATGTTCTAACTTGTCGAGTTCTTTTTTGGGACCCTGACTTAAGACATCCAGTGTCTTAGCTACACCTCCCAGCACAGCAGTCTTTACAGCACTTAGCTTCTTGGTGCCTCTCATATGTTTTCATGCTCTGAATTATGTGCATTTGTGAACACCTTACGCTTCCTGTTAAGCTCTAAGCTTGCTGGCAATAAGAGACTGACTGATTTATCTCTGTTTTTCTTGTATCACTTGGTGCAGTGACTGGCACACTCAATAAATGTTGGGTGAATTTAATTGAAATTTGAAGTGGTGATACAACTTTAATGCAATTATCTCCACCTACGGTCCTCATTTCATTAAGGAATTACATAGCCCTCTGCTGTGAAGTTGTGTGTCTGACCTGCAAGCAATCACTGGAGCTCAGAGCTTCCAGACTGAACAGAAGGTACCTCTTAAAGATGGGTATCATTTGTTCCCATAGCGCATGTGGTACATAATTGGCATTACGTGACTGCTCTGTCCAGCTGTATGTACTGGGAGGATTCTAGATTCTATAAGGCAGTATGTTCTCAGGACAGAAACACAGACACAAAGAAAGTGAAAGCTGGAAAGGGCCATCTGTTTCAATCACCTCATTACACAGATGAGTGAACCGATTCCTGACAGAGGGGCTGTAGTAAGGGAGGGAAAGAAGAGACCTGCCCAAGGTCATGCAGCTGATACCTTAAAGCTTAGCGTAGAATCCTTTCTTTCCTCTGCTTTGGAAGCAAACTGTCCAAGAATTGCCGGGACAGTCCAATTGTCTTTCTCTGACTATTTTACTGATGTAGCGTTTGTTCATGGATCTTATACAGTGTCGTACCCTTATTCTTGATGTTGTACCTGACCCTACTCTTATGTCTACCCTTCAAAATAAATTTTCCAAAAATAATTCTCAGGGGGCAGCTAGGTGGCGCAGTGGATAGAGCACCGGCTCTGGATTCAGGAGGACCTGAGTTCAAATCCGACTTCAGACACATAACACTTACTAGCTGTGTGACCCTGGGCAAGTCACTTAACCCCACTGCCTACAACAACAACAACAACAAAATAATTCCCAGGTGTTCTGACTCCAAGTCCAGAATGCTAATCCACTCCCCTCCCCCAGCTGCCTCAGTATTTATTTACACCCTCTTTACCTTCTCACCTTAAAAAGCACATATTCTTCACCTCTATTTGACCTGTGTATAACCCTGATCTAAATCTCTGCCCAAAAAGGATTCTGCCTGATAATGTGCAGTGTGGGCAGTGAGAATGATCAGAACCCAAAGAGAATCTATATTTCTGGTTTAGGGCACAGTGTTAGATCCCAACTGCTTAAGGATTCTTCTAGTCAGCTGCTGAGACATCTGTATTTTGATTATGTTCTCTAGCCTCTTAAAAGTTTTTATCTTAATTATTAACTGTCTTCTTGTAATAAATAGCAACATTAAAATGAACCAATGAAAAGCAGCTTGTGCTTTACATATTAAGATAAAACAGTGCAAAAACAGGAGTTCCATGCTTTATTGCAATCCATGAAACAAAGGAAAACCTGTTACAAGGTTTTAAAAACTGAGATCACACATAGCAAAAGATTTTTTTAAATAAAGTGAGATGTAACTTAGTTAAAATAATGGTAGTACTGGAATTGTCTTAGGAAGATTCTGAAGATCATCTGGTAAGATAAGGTACCAGACACTGAGGCTCTCTCAAGCTGCAGAGAACACAACCCTGATGGGCAGGCCATGTAGCCGAAATGCCAAACATACATTTACCTATTTTATGGAAGATTCAGGCAAGCAAGTGCTCGCACAGAGGTCAGATGAAGCTATTTAAGGACACTCTCCAGGTCTTCCTGAAGAACTTTAGGATCAATTGTAAGACTCGGGAGACATTGGGACAGGATCATCCAGCATGGGATACCTATATCAAAGAAGGTCCTGTGTTCTGTGAGCAAAGCAGAACTGCAAGAGTACACAGGAAATGGAAGACGAGTGAATCTAGAGACATCTCCATCCTAAATGTTCAAACCATTTAGGCCTGACCTGTGGTTGAGCCTTCTGAGCTCATATCTGACTGATTAGCCACAGCTGAATACACTATTCTTGACTTTAACATCATGATGTCATTAGTCCTCTTCAAGCATGAAGGATGAACAACGATAGTTTAACAGCTTGACTAGTAAGCATCCTATCTAGAGGGGTCTCTGTCTTCATCTGACCTGCTATGAAGAGAGAATTAGAAATAAAGGAAGACAAATCTCTAGAAATAAATTTTTTATTCATGTTGGGACATACCAACACAACAAAAATCACATTTTAACCTAAATTAATTTAGGGATTTAGTGCTATACACATCAAACTACCTAAATAGGAACTGTTAATCACCTTGGTCTCCGGTGTACTATCTCCTCTCTGAGCTTACATGACCCTACTCTCTTTTCTTGGGTCTCCAAAGTTATCAGTGATCTCTTAATTCAAATCTAATAGTCATTTCTCAGTTCCTTATCTTCAACCTCTCTTTAGCATTCAACATTGCTGACTGACTTGTCCTATTTGCATATTATCCACCACCATAAGAATGTGAGCATCTTGAGATTTTGCCTTTCTCTATATCCCCAGGAGTTAGCAAGGTGCCTGACATATAGTAGACATTTAATAATTGTTGACTGACTGACTAAGCTAATATTGGATTCTCTTGTATTGATTTACTCTCCATCTGAGTACCTTCATCAGTTTTGTCTTCCATTATAAGCTTCAAACAAAGACGTCAGGAGTGAAGAAGCACTGGGTTTGGAATCAGAGGACCGGGGTTTGAGCCCCAGTACTGCCATTTACTGTGTGTCCTTGGGCAAGTAATTTCACTTCCCTGAATCCATTTCCTCCACTATAAAATGAGACTAATAATATTTTCAAGACCCCCTTCACAAACTCTGAGGAATAAAAAGATGCTGAATGGAAGATCATTTGTAAACCATAAAGTGCTACATAAATGTAGGCTAGGATTAAGTGCACATGACACTTCTCACATAAGACCTAGTCTGCAACCATACATGATCACCATTTAGCAAATCACTTCTAGGATAATAATGTCAGATTAAACACAAACCCTGGCAAAGTGGTCATTCCCAAGAAGTGTCTGCAAAAGCAGAGGCAGCTGTCTTTCCAGATGAAGCTTCTGGCACAGCTCTGTCAGTTCTTCTTTGCCCAGATATCCCGTGCCAGTCGTATCACAACTGCTGTAGACTTCCTTAAGCTGGGACACATATTTGTTCTCTTCTTCCTCGTCCATCCCATAGCACCCTACATGAGTCAATGCAAGAAAATGAAAAAGTAGCATATTTAGAAAAATTGTTATACTCCCCACCCCACCCCACACACACAATTAGTCAACCTAATTTCCCAACCCATCAGGAAATGATATGAAGCTCTGTAGAGAAGCCCTCCTTAGGATTACAAAGATAGGAAAATTCTGTTCCCCTATGACAAAAGAAATCAGAAGAACATCATTGTGGCCCTGGAACTGAATAGGAACACTAAATCCATAGAAACACAGAATTTAAAGTTAGAAGGGAACGTAAGAAATCATTTAATCCAAACCGCCTTATTTTACAAATGAGGAAACTGAGGCCCAGAAAGGTAAACTGACTTAAACAGGGTCACAGAGTAAGGAACAGAGCCAGATTATAAACCCAGACCCTCTGACTCCAAAGCCACTGTTTTTTTCGCTATGTCATATTCATCATTCTACTGTAAAACAATACGATTGATAATATTTAGTAAAACATAATTCAAAAGGATGAGATGTATCAAATAGATTAACCAGAAACATCTATGGGGAAGAATCTCTCTCTCATTTTTGCCTGCCTGTCCCACTGGAACCTAACACTCAATATATTCAAAGTTGAAGTTTTCTCTCTAACAATTACCCTACTCTCCAAATTGCCTTATTTTTATTGATAGCATTACTATTCTACCAAGTACTCAGGTTCCTAAGCTCAGCGACATACTTGACTATAGCCTCGTCCTCACCTGTAATATTCAATCAGTTGCCAGTTCCTACCTTCACGGTCTTTCAATTCAATTCCCATCTTTCCACTCATATGGCCATAATGCCAGTCCATACCCTTAATACCCCCACTTGAGGTACAGAAAGAGTTTCCCAGCCTACAATCTCCCTCCTTCCCCTCCCACTCTTCAATCCACCCTCCACATGGCTCCAAAATAATCTTCCTAAAGCATGAGACTGGCCCTATAACCCACCTACTAAAAAGCCTTCACTGGGTCCCTAATGATTCTAGGATAAAATAAAACTCTTTGGCCTGGCATGTAAGGTCCTCTGCAATCTGGTCCCAACCATCTTCATTCCCTGTTTCTATTCTTCAAGTACTCTGTGCTTCAGACAATTTGGCATGCTAGCTCTCCTCTCAATCTCATATACCATCTCTCTTTTCTACACTGACAACAGCTGTCTTCCACCAGAATGTCTTCCATGTCTATCATGACTGTTATTCATCCTTCTCACCCTGGAAAATAACTATGCTCCAGCAGCTTTCTCAATCTGGAAGATGAACTTCACCATTGTGGACCCTTCCTGATTGGTCACATCCTCCTGAAACCTCCATTTTAAGGAAAGTACCAGGCCAGCCACATCCATTCCTTCATTGCTCTCTGTACTCCACGTTTGACTCTTTGCACTTTATTTTTTCCACCATGACACCTCCCCCTTCTACTCCCCCCTACAACAAACTCTATCCACTTCTCAGTTCTTGTTATGTGTCACCTTCCCCTGTTAGAATGTAAGCTTCTTGAGGACAGGGACCACCTTTCTTTTTTGCTTGTATCTGTATTCCCAGCACCTAGCACAGTACCTGGCAAACTGCAGCAGGTTCTTAATAAATGCTTGTTGATCTGACTTGACTTCCTTCATTCCTACCTTCCTACAAGGCTCAGGTCAGGTGCCACCCCCTCTGTGTAAATTTCTCTGATTCCCCTGAGGCTGAACATCTTTTCTTCCTCCTCAAATTTTCCGAGGACGTTTTATCTGGATCTTTTCCTCACTCCAATCACTCTCTTATATTAAATGTAACCACAAATGTGTGGCATCCTTACTCCCAGGTGAAGGTAAGTTCCTTGAGGGCAGAAACTGTGTCATTTTTGTCTAGCACCTAATAAGTATTTGTTGAACAAATGAATGAATTCCATTCCACTTAACAAATATTTATTCAGTGCCCACTACATGCGATGACAAACAGTGGGGAAGCAAGCACGGAAATGAAATCGTCACTGCCCTTATTCCAGTGGAATGGTAGAGTCTGTTCCTGCTCAGAAAGAGAACAGTGGGGGGAAAAAAAGTTCTTTTTTTTTTTAGCGAGTCCAGTTCTGAGTTAGAATTTCAGTCGTGATATTTTAGTAGTTCAGGTATGATATTGCAGTGACTGGACAAACTTGAAATTCTTATTTGGCTTCTCAATGTAAAACCTGCGGATATGCATATAACATGTGGTTATCTTTCCTACCTGAAAATGATGTTAGCACTGTGCTACTTCCAGGATGAGCAGAGAGGTGTCTGAAGTCAGGAAGACTCATCTTCCCAAGTTCAAATCTGGCTCAGACATTCACTAACTGCGTGACCCTGGGCACATCACTTAACCTTGTTTGCCTCAGTTTCCTCAATTGTCAAATGAGCTGGAGATGGAAATTACAAACCAATTCAGTATTTTTGCCAAGAAAATCCCAAATGAGGTCACAAAGAGTCAGACACAACTGAAAATGAATGACTCAACAATACTTCCAGTATACACAGATGTGGCTAAACACACCTGAGGCAGAATGGAGGTAAGAAATGAGCACTATTCCAAACAAAAGTCCTGCATGGGGTTGGCCTAAAATCTGGGCAGAAAAAGTCTGCCCAATTATTAGAAAGCAGGGCATAACATTAACATGATGCTTGAGTTTTGAAATAGTCTCAAAGTGAGCAAAATTTCCATACTCTTTCAAGCAGAGATGTTGTGCTACACACCTACCTCAAGAAAAGTCAACGATTTTTTAAAAAAAATTTCACATACAACAATGCATTTATAGCAGCATTTTTTTGTACTAGCAAAGAATGAAAATAAAGCACATGTCCATCAACTGAGAAATGGCTAAGCTGTGAATGAATGAAATGGAGAGAAACATGGAAAGATACCAGTGAATTGATACAAAGGGAAGTAAACAAAACCAGGAACACAATATACATAAAACTACATGTAATACTACACACACGTGGCTAAGTATAGTACCAGGAAACGACTAGAACAAAAAAAAATCCAGACAAAAATATTCTAGAATGTGTTCATAACTACATAAAAGAAACAACAACAAAACAATTAAAGTTAAATGCTAAGAAATTATAATGACCAAGTGTGGCTCCAAAGAAGAGATCTGAGAATATAATTCCACTCCTTTGCAGACATGGTGCACTAGCAAGTGATGTAAAACAAAAGATCAACCAATTTTAAAAGTTAAAAAACCAGAACAAAGAAATTAACTAGGACAAACATCCATGAGGCCACAAAGCCTGCCTCCCTTATTTTCAATCAATTAATCATGCATTTATTTAATTGCCTTCTGTGTGCCAGGCATTACAATATGCTTGGGGGGATGCAAAGATAACTTTGACCACCAAGCCTTCATTGACAACCTAACATTCAACAGCATCAAGAACGTGGAAACAGAAAATAATTTTTAAAAACCGAACACCTATAAAAGAAAGAAAAAATAACAAACTCTAGCTGACATTTGTACAAGTTCTCCCTCCCACATCACTCAAAACAATAATAGGCATAAAAGAAGTGTTATCTTGCGTATATTAAGAGGAAATTAGGGTACTTGCAAATATTAATTTTAAATGAATCACAAACTAATGTGAGATAGAATAATGGGACAAACAAGTGATACTTCCAGTAGCTGGAGGAAAGGGATGAGGAGAATTGTTAAAGATAATAATGCTGGGAGGGGAAAGAGTGTGAACTAAAAGAAAAACAAAAAACCAAATAGTAGCATGGTAGAATGGAGACAATATTGGATTTGGAGTCAGAAGGCCAAGGTACAAATCCTGGCTTTGCTGCTTCCTATTTGTGACACTGACATGTTGCTTAACTTTTCCAGGCCTCAATGTCCTCATCTGTAATATGGGGGTGGGAGCTGGACTCTGATCTTATGGCCCCTTCCTACTTTAAATCTTATGATTCCATTTCTGATAAAGAGGAGTGCATTGATAAAACCAATACTCTCAACGATGGATAAGACAAGAAAGAAACCTAAAATGAAGTCAGAACCACTTCTAGCAAAAGTAGTTTGGGGATATTCCCCAGGCCATAAAGTTAGAAGGGACACTTCTTAGCCTGGGAACCAAGAACACCAACCAAGAATAGTCAGCATGGGATACTGTTAGGAGGGTAAAGGATTTTTATAAAAAGAGTTTCAATCAGAATGCTGGGAACTATGGGCAGATTGCCATATTGAAATTTCTCTGTTTCCTTATGGATCAGAGGAGCTAAAAGAAGTAGTTTGGCTGACCTAGAAAAAGAAGAAAGATGGAATGGAGAAGAGGAACTAGTCATCTATTAAGCCGGACTCTATAACTTGGTGGTATAAGGTGTCTGTTGATAGAAGCACAGAATTTCAGAAGTTGGAAGGGACCTCAGCAGCCAATTAGTACAATCAATACCCCAAAAGAATCACCGTGACAACATATCTGACAAGTGGTCATCCAGTCTCAGCCTAAAGACCTCCACTGAAGGGGAACTCATTCGCTCACCGAGGCAGCCCATTCCATTTTCAGATAGTTCTTATTGTTAGAAAGTTCTTCCTTAACATCAAACCTAAATTTGCAGTCTGCAACTTCTGCCCACTGCTCCAAATGTCCTCTGAGGCCAAGCATACCACATCTAACATGATCTGCATGAGGGGCTTTCAGACACTTGAAGACAGCCACTGTGTCCCTGTGAGCCTTCACTTCTCCATATTAAATGTGCCAACCTCCTTCAATGGACCCCATAAGGCACTGACTCCATTCTGCTTTCCCTTCTCTGAATACTCTCCAGATTCTGGATGTCCTTCCTAAAATGTGATCCCCAAACCCTTCACATGTAGTCTGAACAGAGTAGTCAATACACCACCCCCACACATAGACACATTTGAATAGTAATGATTCCACTGGAAGGGGACCTTAGAGATTCTCTAGTCACAATGCTCTCATTTTATACATACTCAGAGAGGGAAGTAGTTTGCTCATGGGTACACAATTAATTACTAAC